TCGCTTACTTAAAACCGAAAGTCAAAATACAGATATCCGCACAAGACATTAATGTTGTGAAGTAGAGCAAGCATTTTAAATAAATTCCTATTAAGTAGGATTGAACTAAACAGAATGAACGTTCACTCTGTTCTGCTGGTTCCTCGCTGTTGGCGCGCACAGTTATGAATGCTTGTGCAGCCATGAGTTTTAGTTTAATTTTAAAATTAGCGCAATTTCGGGATTTGTATTATTTGAATTTATTTTTAAAAAACACAATGTTGAGTTTTATTGTAACACTGTTTAATCGCGCCCACGGTTATATTTTGTATATTATATATAATTATAATGTATTTCTGTATAAAATAATACTACAATAAAAAACACATTTGTGACCGACCTGATCCAGCAAAATTAGTCACAGTGACCCAAATTTAAAAATTGAGATTTTGATATTAATGGAAAGAGGACACTGTAAGCTTTCAAATGATACCTTGGTCATACCTTGAATGGTTGTAAAGATATACAGATTTGAATTCTGGTCGTCTGCCCTTTTTTTCCAATTGAAAACCTAAGAAAATCGCTTTTAAAGTTTTTTTGCCCGTTTTTTTTTTTTTTTTTTTGATATCTTCAAAATCCATAGCATTTTAAGGATAAACTATTTATTTTATATAGCTTAATTTGACCAAATAGATTAACATATATAAATGCAATTTAACGAGGCTGAAACTCAACTTATTTTTAATTTTTTTGAAATAAATAATTAAAAAGTCACTTTTACAAAATGTTCTAAAATCAGAAAGATTGAAGAGGAGTCAGAGAGAAATTCAGTTTTCATACGGATTAGCCCACATAAGCAGAGAGCAGTCTGTTTTCTTTCATTTTGAATGGTTGTCTTTAAAAGTAGACATTTCAATATATATGTCTGTGAGGATACCTTATACGCTGACTTTCGGTTCATGAGACAAGCTTCAGTTCACGTGCCGCGCGTCTCCGCGTCGTGATTAGGCCTAGCCTATTGTCTGCAATTTATTTCTTATTATTAAATCCTAGTAATTGGTTGATGAAACATTGATTTACATTAAGATAATTATTTTAAAACGAAATTTACTTTAAAGAAAGGCTTTGTGCTTGCATGTTTAAGCTATGTGAAAGTTTAGTGCTGCTTCCAGAGAACGGTCACGTTCGGATTGTTTTTCCTCATAAATGCGAACACGAAAATAAAATAAAGATTTTATGTTCTGGAGAAGAGTCAACCCTTCTTCATCCGGTAAGTATTACTTTTGGTTTGTGCAGTGTGGTTCACATAGGCCAATTTATTAAAATATTTAATATCTGGGAATTGGATCTCCTCCATAATGCTGAAAATTGCCCAATTTTAAAAAATTTAGTAATAATTTAAGTTTTGTGTGTAAGTCTACGTATTTTATAATGTTAACTTCAAATAATACTAATAGTAATTAAAAGATGTTGTAGCT